CCCGGCATAACCATCAGACCTTTCCGGCACAGGCATTAAGATCACTGCAGAGGGTCGGCCATACCTCGGCGCTGCCATCGGCACAGAGGAGTTCCAGCGACGGCATTTCTCAGCTAGACTGGAGGAATGGTGCAGCCAGCTTACAGTGCTTACAGAGTTTGCAAAGACTGATCCCCAGTCTGCCCTCGCCGCGTTTGCACACGGTCTGCGTCATAGGTGGACGTATGCTATGCGAACCACACCTGATGACATTGCTGACTTTGAAGCTCTGGAGTCTGTCATCGCCCAGGAGTTCATCCCAGCTGTTACAGGCGTTGCTCCTCCATCTCCCCCACTGCGCCAGCTGCTGTCGCTGCCCCCTCGCCTTGGAGGTCTTGGTTTGCTGTCCCCCTGTCTATCGCTCCACTCCAGCACGCCACATCAGTAGCAGTCACCAGTGAGCTCCAGGCCAACATCATGCGCCAGTCCCTACTGCTGGCCACTGACGAGGACACCGTGCGCAATGCTAAGCTCCAGGGCCGTGCCAAACTCCGTACCCTGTGGTCCGACACTACTGCCACCATCAGTGCAGACCTCAGCGACCATGAGCAGCGCTCCTTGGAGGCTAGTTGCGACCGCAGTGCCAGCTCGTGGCTATCGTGCCTGCCCATCGCTGCACACGGCTTCAGCCTCGACAGGAGGTCATTCCAGGATGCTCTTGCTGCACGCTACGGGTGGCCTGTTCTTGGTATCCCTGACACCTGCTTATGTGGTGTGCCTTTCACCACCGACCATGCCATGATATGCAGACGTGGCGGCTTCCCCATCATCCGCCACAACCATGTCCGGGACTACATTGCCGGCCTTCTTGGCAGATGCCGTGGAGACGGAGCCTGTTCTTCAACCCCTTGCTGGTGAAGCTCTTCCAAGGGCCGCCAACACTGACCCTCAGGCCAGACTGGACGTCAAGGAGAGGGGCCTCTGGTCCATGCAAGAGGATGCATTTTTGACATAAGGGTTTTCTATCCCTGCGCGTCCTCTTACATGACTAAAGTCCCTCTCTGCGACCTACAGATGGCATGAGGAGCAGAAGAAAGCGGCTTATGGTGAGCGGGTCCGGCGGGTGGAGAGGGGCAGCTTCTCTCCATTGGTGTTCTCCTCTGTCGGGGGAGCTGGCGGTGAGGCCCGGAATGTGTTGAAACGTCTCGCCATTCGCCTGGCAGCGGCAACCGGAGACTCGTACAGCGTCCTCATGGGACGGATCCGCTGTGAGCTTGGCTTCACTCTAGTCCGTGACTCCATCATGATGTTGCGTGGTAGTCGGAGGAAGGTGAATTTCAGCCATCACCCCAGCGATGTCCTGCAGCATGAGTCGCTCATGCCAGTTTGACTCGGTTCAATTTGTCTTTTGTGTCTGTGCATGATGATGTCACAGGTTTGTTTGCCAGTTTTGGTTCTGTTGCCGTTTATCCTCCGTCTTTGCTTTTTGTTTTGCTGTTTCCTTTCTCTTCTTCCTCTTTGCTCACGTTGATGCCATTTTGTTGTGAGTCCGCATGCTTTGACTCAAACTCGCAAGGTTGATTATTATCTCTTGCACCTTTTACTGGTTTAGGACTTGTGCCCAGTCCTGAAGTTATTGCTCATTGTTTGTGTTTTTTATTGTTTTGCATTTACATTTACATGATGTGGCGCCCCGTTCACCCTGCAGCACGGCCTTGACTGCCAAAAGGGCGGCCTTGTCGAGAGAGGCCACAACGACCTCCGTGACAGTGATGCCAAGCTTGCCGACATTGCCTTCGGCGGCGGCACCATCGAGCCGATCCTCATCCCGGAACAGGACAGGAATGGTCGGCCTATGCTCCAAGCGGACTGGCTCGCTCGCGGAGTATGGGAAGGCAACCGGGTGGCGTTTTTCGATAACCGCATCGTAGATGCTGACGCACCCAGTTATGCCAAGGCCAACCTGTCCTGGAATGCCACCGCCAACAAAGCAGCTGCAGCGAAGAAGAGGAAGTACAAGCATGCTGCTGAAGAGCTACGAGGCTCCTTTACTCCTTTGGTGTGTTCCACTGATGCTGTTCTCCACCACGAGTACAGTGCGTACCAGAAGCGTCTCGCCAGCCGCTTAGCAGCGAAATGGGAGAAGCCCTTCTCTGCCATGATGGCTTGGGTACGCGTGCGCACTCAGTTCGCCATTTTCAGCGCCGTGGACATGCGTCTGCGAGGCTCCCGTCGCCGTCTTATGGGACTCTCCGTACATGACGGTGCCGGCGTTGGAATCGGTCACTGAGTCATGTTCTCGTTCTGTTTTTCTAACTTATTATACCTTTTCACTGATGGTCCTATCAGTGCTATCACTGTCTTTTTCTCACTGTAGCTCCTCATTGTTGTTTTTTACCAGGCGTGGGCCATCCCCTGATTGCATAGGTGCCAAACATTTTTACGTTTTTTCAAAAAATAAATAAAAAGTGTGAGGAGGTTAAAATTAATCATACTGTGTTTAACCTCATCACACTGCAGACTTTTCTTGAAACGCACGTGAGCCTATTGCAGCCCCTAGGCAGCGTGCTCCTTCTGAGGTGATCAGAACGCCGGTATCCTGGAATAGATAGATCTTGTACCTCAAGAAAGCAATGTTCTTTGACCACCAACACAGATTTCTCGGCATTGACAAAATAGCCAAAAGCACGACCTCGTTCGTTAAGGATGTGCTACCACCGTTGCAAACGACGTAGACGGCCAGCCGCCAAAGAGCCAAAAGCACGACCTCGTTCGTTAAGGATGTCCTACCACCGTCGCGAATGACGTAGACGGCCAGCCGCCAAAGAATTGTCAGGAAACGAAGATTGAACAGGAGTGTGTGCACGTGGGGTGTATACTTGAACTGTTTTGTCCTTTTTTTTACTCAAAAGTATGATTGTTTCCTTTCCTCTTCTTCTGCAATTGCAGGGAGATTATCCAGCATTCGGCAAGAAAAGGATGAAGTGACATCTATTAATATGAATGCAGAATGTGGGCTTTCTGTAACCGACCAAACTTTCGAGTTTGAGGAAGGTGATCGGATCGAGTCGTATGATGTCATCGAGAAGAAGACTCCTGTTCATTGGATGTTTTGATGCTACCTGGTGCAGTGCAGCAGTTTGAATGCTGTTGATTTTTGCTTTCATATCAACTACCGCTGCCGCTGAAGATCTGAGACCTTAGTTGGCCACTTGAAAGGCTATGGTGTGTTGGCACTGGCTCCTGGCGGTGTGCATACCGCTAGATTTGGCGCGCTAGCATTGCACTCTCCGGCTCTGCAATGCCAATGGGACTACGATCTTGGTGCCAGTGAGTGCTCAATTCTGCTACATGTGCTTGAACATGCAGCACTTTCATCTTGGAGCTAACATTTTTTCCTCTTCTTTCCAAGCCTTTTCATTTCAATGGGGGATATTTGGTTGTGTTGCAAGTCTCCATGAACCGCTATTATCTGCGCTTGAAGAGCACTGATTAGGAGCAATCCTGCTAGATAAGCTGTGGTGGAATCTGCCACCGCTGGTAATCCTAAGTCTTGTTCAGAGTGTAACTACCCAGTGAACACATGGCCGCAGAATCAATTATTATAAAATAGTATGTCTGCTTTCTCTGCTACCCGATGTTCTGCATTTGCCATGACAATGACGGTCGCTGCGTATGAGTTACTATCAGTATGCTGTAGCCTTGTAGGTGCGTGTGTGGACATGTCACTTATATTATTGTGCCCGCGGCAGTGGCATGCGAAGTCCAGACACATGAGCATAACAGCTCCGGGGGCTGCTTGGCCATAGCACAAACCAACACTAAGTTGTACAGTGAATACAGACAGCTCTGCTATACTCTTAGGGTTGAATTTCTCTTGTCACTGCTGTACACTGTAGTCATTATATATGCGTATGTCAGCCAGGGAGTCGTAATTTTTTTTCCGACTCCCTGATGGCAACACACTCTATTTTCACCAGGGAGTCGTGAAAGCCCTTACACTCACTATAACGCGCAGAACTTGAATATCCCTGCCGAAACTGCATCATCTCCATTCAAAATGTTCTCGCTATATCATAATCCGCACTGTTCGCTTGGTCCCATGCTCACGAAGACCTCAGTACATGTATATTGTCAACAGTTGTACAGTTGTCTTCCCAATTTCAGTCCACATACCGGTATCACTTTCTTTTCTTGAAGTTTCTTCTCACGGCTGCATGCACTTGGCTGCATTCAATCCGCATATCCACGCTTTCTTCCAACACTACAATCATTCATTTTGTGTTGGATTTCGTACATGACATCAAGAGTACATAGCTGGGGTGTTCTTGATGACATGCATTGTTTAGAGTGCTCCTGTACATGTGCACAATCATGATTGCTGATTACCATTGATTGGTATCCATTGCTCCTGCAGTCATCACAATCATACAGTCTAGTTGTGTGTATTCTGCTTCTGGTATACCCGCTTTCTCCCGACAGTATTGATTAACCAAGCACCAGTACGAGTCGGAGACTGCGACTCTGTAATAATTGCCTGTGTTGACTTTGAATTGTTCTAATCATCTTTCCAATAAACAAATTGATAATAATAATAATAATAATAATAATCATGTTCCATGGATTTTCAATAAAGTTCTTTGCAAATTTGACTATAAGTATAAACAAGAGCTCATATGATCATAAGACATAACCCCCAGGGGTTATGAACTCTTGTAGTCTTGATAAAGCACGAGTCGGAGAACACTGAACAGTGAATTGCCAAGTGAGTCGTAAAATACCGGTAATTTACGACTCCCTGGTCTCTCTGACTCTGAACCAGGGAGTAGTATATATTTTACTACTCCATGCTCTGAACTCAGTCTGAATCTGATCATGTTATGACAAGATGACGTATGCTATGCCCTATGTGAAACGTGACGTCATGCCCTCTATTGGTGTGAAAAATCATGCGCGTGCCCGAATCCCAAGAAAATGGCGCTCGGAAGTGAGCGATTTTTGCGCATTTTGCGGAATCAAAATTTTAGTCCCACTTGAGTGAGCGAGCGCTCGATGCCCTTGTTGTTCAAAGAGCTAACTTGTTTGGGCTTTTCACATCTCCGTGGAAAATCATATCTGCAGCCATGGCGGGTCGTGGCGGCCCAGTGCTAGTTCTGAGTAAGTTAAGCAGAGTTTACCAACGTAGCCGGCGGGATGTCATCATCTTTGCTGTGTTTTGCCAATTTCAGAGGACACCACGAAGCGTGAGAGTGGAAGGAAAGTGCAATTGGGCAACATTGAGGCAGCAAAGGTGATTTGTTTGTACATGTAATTTGAGCGATGGTTGCTGGAGAAATTCATACTGACATGAGTATGTTTATTGGATGATTTCCGCAGACGATTGCTGACCTTGTTCGCACTAGCCTTGGTCCTTGCTCCATGTTGAAGGTAAGAGGTTGTTATTGAAAATGTTCCTTAAATTTTGAATATTTTCATGTTGCACTTCATGCAGGGCCTGTATCAAAGTGTTTACTGTGCACTATTTTACACAGTACCAGTCTGTATCGGCTATAGAGTGACCGGCTGTATGGATATATCGGCTAAAGTGATATCAGAACAAAAATCAAAATGTATTTTGTCCATTCAAAATAATTATCAGTAATCGGTTGTAGTGATATATCGGATATTACGGTGGTATCCTAGAATTAGAACATGCATTGCACACTATAATAATAGTGATTACTAGTATAGTGATATACGCTTCAAGCAGGTGGATTGTCACTACTAATTTGTGATCCATGGGTGTGCATGACAATTGTACTCTTGAAAGGCATGGCCGTGATTTCCGCAATACATTGTGCAGTACAGTGTCATTTGCACGCACACATCTACACGCATAACCATGTGGATGTGGTCGCACACCTCGTGTATGTCTAGTCATGTGTACATGTGCATGCGATATCGCTTGTACTGATGCATCGGGTATAGTGATAATAGTGAGTTTCTGCTACACGGAACTGCGTATCAAACTCTGTGTCAACTGCAGTGAAGTTTGACACGGATTTTCGTACGTTGCGCCGGTTCTGCTGTGGCGTGGGGGGGGGGGGGGGGTCAACGGTATTTTACGGTACAGGTCCTCCCTCGTTAGTAGATAATCTCTGGGCCATCGAAAAAGTTATCTTATAACGAGACTTATCTTGTAGCAGGACTTGCAGCTAAAGGTGAAATAGGTACTACCTCGTACTTACCGGGGCTACCCTCGACACAACATAAATTATCGATGCTTCAACTCGTTATAAGATAATTGAAAATCTCCAACATAACTCTTCCTTGGATGCAAAGGATCGTCCATATTCACGAATACATAGATATATTACGTTTTGTCTTTCTACTTTATCCTACGTGTTTTGGCCTTGGTCCTGCATGGTCAGTATTATCTTATACTGAGGGTTTGGCACTCCAGGGACCTGGGCAAAGGGTCGTTATAACGAATTTTATGTACTAACGGATTATGTTGTAATCGGACCTGTAAACAGTTGTATAGACCACGTTTCGCCAGGGGATTTCAGATTTCTATTTACTAACGGGGTTTATGTACTAACCGGACTCGTTATAATGAGGGAGGACCTGTACTAGTATCCCGTGTATAAGTATTTCTATCTTCGAATTCTGACTGTTTTCTTGTCATTCCTATAGATGCTCATGGACCCGATGGGTGGCGTTGTTATGACCAATGATGGCAATGCCATACTTCGAGAGGTAGGTGCACTCCTGTTGCTTTTCAGCGCATAATGCAGCTGTGTGTGGTTAGGTGTATGAGCAGATGTGTGTGTGTGTGTGGTGATACATGCTGTCGACTCCTGATCATAATAACGAACACCAATGTGCAAGATAATTCATTCTTCATACCGTAATTCCGCGCGTATAAGCCCACGGGCCTACATGTATATCCGCATATAAGCCCACCTCCATTTATAAGCCCATGGGCTAACAAACAGACACAAATCCAACTCGCGTGTCGAGTAGAATTTTTCACAATATGGACTCTTCCTACCATGGTACAGCAGGTCAGTGCAGTTTACCAGTAGAGTACTAGTATGGTAGACCCACTATGAGCACGGACTTGTACTTTTTCGTGAACCATCTAAATTCGAATATTGGCCTATGGGCTAAAAAACGAACATGTTTTACTGGATATTTTATCCCCAAACTGCATTATTTCACATAAGCTCATGGGCTTATATGCGCGGAATTACGGTAACAGAAATGTACGAACACCATGCAAGCAATATGTCGTGGCTGCATGAGTGCACTTGGTTTGCAACCACCTCTACTAGATACCGTTCGTTATAAGCCAAAACAGTTTGCTATAAAGGGTCAATTAGGGCGTGGGTTCAAACAGGGACGTGGAAAATGGTTCACTATGAATGCGATCGACTATACATACGTACATAGATGCAGTCAATATCACGGTTATCAACTTCGGGTATAAAAACAACTCCTGATAACGACACTATCTTCAGACGTACTGACCATTTGACTGCATAAGTGGAACTTCGTGAGTAATAACTCCCGTAAAAGAATACTCGTATTTCTCATGCCCGCAGGTGTATTATTCCCGAGGTAGACAGTGTATGCACCCCAAATCGCAGGTGCCCACTATGCTCGAAATGTAGTGCAATGCATCAAACTGTTGCGAAGTTTTCCTCATCTGGTCCGGCACACACCATATGTGTGCATTCTAGTGTTTACTACCAGCTACACTGCTAATGCATGATGGGTACGAGACCCCATCGGTAGCACATGCATTATACTATTGTAAAATGGTCACACTATAGTACTATATGATCGATAGTGCTTTCTAATCTAGGCTACACATTATACTCCGGATATACCTTCAATGGCTGAAACATTGCTAAAAGGGGGGGGGGGGGGGGGGGGAGGGTGTGCATTGTACTTAGGTGCCCTTTATACTCCAGCAAATACCGTACATGTACATACATCCATACATACATCCATACATACATACATACATACATTGAGTACATACATACAATCATACATACATACATACATACATACAGTGTAGGATCTCTTTAGTTCTCTGTGACTCATCGGCTATATGCACATTGTGTAAATCCAGAATACATCTTCGAGAAACCGTTCATAGGCACGAAATATTCCTAGTTCAGCCAAAAGATGCAACTTTTATTATTTTATTACGTGCTCTTCAGCACCAGTCTCTGCTCATTTGATTGTTCACGATTTTAACCTTCTGTTATTGTGCATGTTGCAGATCCAAGTACAGCATCCGGCAGCCAAGGCCATGCTTGACATCAGCCGTGCAGTAGATGAGGAGGTTGGCGATGGTACCACTTCAGTCATCATTCTTGGTAAGGCAGCTGTTGTCCTTTCTTCTATCTCTTTAGCTTAACCATACAAACGTTGAGGCATGGCTGACCCTAGGAAGCCCTGGAGAAATTTTTCCATACGTTCTGTACAAAATCGCCCAGTCAGCACCTCACCACAGTTGACTGTGAAACGGTTTTGCTTCTCAGATGTTGGTACTGTTTGTGGCCCTTTCTCTTACTGTAGAGTCGCGCGCCCAAGAATGTCTTTTCCAAGAGGACTCACTGAGAAGTTCTTATTTCTCTGCAATCTGGTTGCGTTCATATAACAAGTTCTTAGAAGTAATTCTCACTGGATCGTATTGACGGACTATTACATACATATGTATCTCGAAAGTAGGGGTGAAAATTGGCATTGAGATCCCGAGTTCGAGTACTCTGATTTTGTCCGATCGAATATTCGAGTATTCGAGTATTCTTCATCTCCTAAAAATTGAACACCGAGGGCCTTAAAATCACATGCTACAACCCTGATTGAACCGAGTGGCAGTCATTTTTCTCTGGTATATTGGTTGCTGGGTCATTTGGGCTCTCTCTACTCGTGAACAAATGTTCACCACACAGTCTGCACATCAATATCTGCCGACTGCTGATCTGAAACTGCAGATTTCTGTGGTAAATGCATGTACCACGTATGAACGAGTACTCTGATTTATTCCGAGTACGATTATTTCTGAAAAAACCGAGCGAGTACTCGAGTATTCGGTATAATTGTTTCACCCCTACTCGAAAGATGCCACAAAAATCAAATCCATCACTGACGTTCTCAACTTTTAATAGCAGTGGCGTTCTTACTTCCTCCGCCCAGGCAAAATTTTCGCTTTTCTCCTTCAGCCCAATGACAGGTGTCTGACAGCAATTTTTTGCATCTTGTGCACTTCACCATCACACAAATCTGCTGGTTCAGGCGTACCAGTTCCAAACAAGTCGGCGAAGTCGGCAAAGAGTAAAGAAACACCTAGAGTAGAGCGCGTTGAACGTGAGTGAACTGGTAAAAAAAAGAACACGAATTCAGTCACTGGTCAAGCTGGGTGCTGCTACAGTACCACTGGGCACTGGAGTACAGAGCAGAGGTGTCATGTTGCGAAAAGCCAGCGTGTTTGATTGCATCCGGCACAAGATGTGTGTACGGTAAAAATGCACGTGAGCTTGAAGCTGAGAAAGCCACTCAGCGCCGGATGCTCGCCCACATACTGCAAAATGAACCAGAATCGGCACTTGTAGGGGGAAAGAAAGGCTTCGATGACAGGGTTGTCACTCACCCAGCTCATTCGCCTGTTGTCAACGTGAACGATCCTGCAAAGCGACGCTGAGCTCGTCAGCTTCGGCTGGTAAGAAACACGACCGATCGTACCCATGCATGACGGAGGTGAAGCGCTGGGAAAAGTGTCGATACGAAAATATTTGCGCTTCTGGAAAGTGCGAAGTACTACCCTACAACACGTGCTGCGTCGGCTGATGACAAAGGATGACTTCTACATTTTTCGACTTGGAGAGTTTCTCTTGATGTTCAACGACTCCTCAACTCATTCTGAGTCGTTATAAGCCGTTCTGAGAACCTGGAAGGTATCGGTAAAAAGTGTAAAGATAAGCGAAAATTTTGCTTGGGCGGAGGAAGTAGAATTTCGGGCTCCACGTTCTTTGGTTCCACGTTCTTCGGTGCGCGACTCTACTGTATGATATACTCTTGTGTTCTTGATTTTTTAGCTGGAGAGATGCTATTGGGCGCAGAGAAGTTCTTGAAGGACAACATTCACCCAACAGTCATCATCGGTGCGTACCGCAAGGCATTGGATGATGCCGTGACAATGGCGAAGGAACAGATCAGGTTAGATTCTACGCTGGGGGTTTAGCCACGTTTTAAGTTTTTTAACTTAGGAGTAGGAACTATGAACTCAACATCAGTTGAGGTTCAGTAGACTAGTGAAATTTGTGTTCCAGAAGCACCACATTTTGTAGCGCTCCAGCCACTCGAACATCACTAAGGATACCAACTTACAATGGCACTCCGTTTCCAGTGCAACAAACAACTTGTGAGGTCCCAGGTAGCAGCGTGAGTCCGTGTCGCTAATGGTGTGAGAGGTGAGAAACACTGATGTACTATTTATCTCCTCACTGTCAGAGTTAATGCAGCCGGGCTGATTGTGTTTGTTCACTGCATGATCATTCTTCTTCTAGCTAAGTTTCCGAAATGCTATCTAGCCTTATTGTTTTGGTTGCTCTTGTTGACAGCACAAACAATACAGTACAGCATTGTTCATGATGCCATCTCTTGAGCATTTTGTAGAAAAATTCTCCCTTCTGAACCTTGTGCTCAGTTCTGAGTACAATGCTTTGTCTTGGCTATGGTTACCCGCAGTGTGCCTGTCGACGTCAACAATCGCGAACAAGTGCTCAAAATCATTAACAGCTGTATTGGAACGAAGATGATCCGTACATGGTATGCCTGTGTTCTTCTCTGGTGGTGCCTTTTTTGCCCAGTGCTGTGCTGCTGCATTGTGCTGGTCGTGTTGTTTTTGTTCTGTGTTTCAAGTAGTAGGCAGTATGTACCCAGCTGTGCCAGCTTGTCACGTATGCACCGTTCAATTGGCAGAGGTGCAGCATACTGCTTGTAGTAATGTCTTCCCATTGTTGTTCACACTTGTACCTGTACATTTGTGGTTTGTGGTCTTTGCTGGAAGATTCGGAGTGTTGTTGATTTGATTTTCATTCCATTGTGTTTGTGGGTTTGTCCTGGGCATTCAGGGCTGACAAAGCATGCAACATGGCCTATGATGCTGTTGCCACCGTGAAGACGGAGGATAGAGGCCGCATGGAGGTCGACATCAAGAGATATGTCCGTGTTGAGAAGGTACATGCATTTGTGATCTTATCTTCTCAACGATGCTGCTCCGTGCATTTGTTTACGGCTCTGTTACATGTACCGTAAAGTACCGCCAGAGCGCCCCACCATCTCAACCTTTCGTGGTCGTATTGTGGAGGTGGTCTCCTGTCTGTAGGTCATACGACACGAACTTTGTACACATATTGCAAATTCTGCAGATAATCCGTACCTTCGAGCGGACACAAGCTCCACACAAAAAACCTGCTTAGTGTGAGCTCAGTACACTAAGGTTCTCACACCGTACAAACTTCGTTGCACTCTGCCATACGACTAACTTTCCTTTCCTTGGCTGTAAAATCAAGGTGGGGCGCCCTAGCGGTACTTTACGGTACAGTCAAACCTGCCCTTGCAGACACCTGAGAAAAACGGACACTTGCAAAGTGAGGACAGCTCGTTGCAGTCCCATTCATTTGTGTACATTTTAGTATGCGCGGACACTTGAGAATGCGATCACCTGTGAAGTGCAAAATGCGGAAACTCTCACGTGCCCACAGCACTGTGTTTCACAGGTCTCAGCCTGACGAATGCGGACACACTGCCTGGGGTACCGGGGATTCATGCACTCTGTGTCATGTGTTATGATATTTTACATGACTACAGTCATGTACGTTTACACTCACACTATGTAGCGACCTGGATGCAATCATTCTTAATTATGTACATAACGGTTGCTGTAACTTGGGTGTGTTTGCTATATAGTTTGGTGTTGCCATTTTCAGGGGAACAAATCACTGCTACTCAGGGTTTGAAGCATGAACTGTCCTTTGTTTTTGTTTTTTGATTTTCAGGTTCCAGGTGGTTCGGTCAACGATTCCTGTACTTTTGGTGGCTGCATGCTCAACAAAGATGTTGTACACACCAAAATGCGCAGGTATGTTGATGCTTCTGGTCACCAAATACGAGATTTCATGCATTTGGAGCACTGTTGTTGCTCTCCAGCAGTGAAAACAGTGTTTACATGGTCCATGTCCTCAGTCTCTTCCCTTTGCGGAGACCTGTCAAGGAAACCCGGATCGTTAATAACTTAATATTAGAGAGGTTGCTTTGGGCGTCGTGTGAATGGCCCATTGTGCAAATATTTCCTTTAATACGCTCCTGCCTAGTTTTGCGATTAGTTAAAGATCGTGAAGGGTATGCACATTACATCTTCTGGGTCATCCTGTGCTTCCTCAAACCATTGAGTCACATTCAGATGTGTAGCAGAGCCATTTGAGCAAAGAAAAGCACCTGCTTGCATTACTTCCTCATGAATGTGAAGCAGAAACTAAACCAGGAGTTGTCTTGATCACTGTGAGCCATCTGGGTTCGTGCTTTCCTGTTTGTTGTTGTGACGAGAGTCTTGCTGTGTTCCCTTATATATATTTTTGTGCAGGAGAATAGAAAACCCCAGAATCATTCTGCTCGACTGCAATCTAGAGTACAAGAAGGGAGAAAGCATGGTAAGTGACCAGGCTAGATGACAAGAAAGGCCCCGTTTGCGCCCAAGAGTGTGTATCATGTTGCGCTGTTGAAAATGTTAGCTCAGCCGGTAGTATCACTTTTAATTCCACGTAAAGTGCCAACAGGCCCGCTTACTGTGTAGTGCAATCTTGATGTGGTATTACGCAGCTACACTGTAAGGCTCGATCACCACTAGAGCATTGCCTATGGTTCCCCGTGTTCTGTTTAGGCCCTCATGTGCATGTATTTTATGTGGACTTCTTTCTTGTTTACAGACGAATTTAGAAATTTCGAACGAAGCAGACTTCACGTAAGTACTGGTTCTGTGTGAAAAAAATCTTCAGACTTTTCCCATTTGTGTATTTCCCTCAAACCAGCTAGTATCTGTGTATTTTGTTTGTGTATTCTCTTTATGAATGCTTGCAAGGCTTTTACCCTACTGACGAATCACTATTACTGTAGTATTACATGTATATTCCTCTTGGTGAAATGTGGCCTCATGTTTTCATGATCATATCAAAAAGAAAACTATCGAGGATTCACTGCCCTTGCCTTTGTGTTTTGTTCATCTATATAGGCGTATTCTTGAGCTTGAAGAGAAAATGGTTAAGCAGATGTGTGATGACATCATCAAGTTAAAGCCAGACCTGGTGATCACGGAGAAGGGCATTTCTGGTAAGACCTCGTGTGGTGTACTGTCAGACTACTTTACCAACGAGCACTTAAATTAGATTTTCCCTTTCAACTCCCTCGACTGCTTATAACTACAGGTAGACTCCCTCTAATTCGAATACGGTATAATTCGAACTTTTTCGTCGTACCGATCTTCTGCAAGTCACTTCAAGTCAAATTCGAATGCATAATTCGAAGTACGAAAATTGCGCCCGCTGGATAATTCAAACTCTATCTTCATACAGAAGAGCAGTTTACAGTACAGTGACTATGTCCTTCGAGCGCTTATTTCGAAGTGAGATGGAGTTGCTCTACTCGTAATTCGAATTTCATTTTTTCTCCTTCTCTACCGAGAGTAACTCAAAAATTGATCCCTGGTCCGCTCCAGGATCGACAATAGTGTTGAAGAAACCCACCTTCTCTCGAAATTTGATCCAAGCCTGTGCAAGGCAAAGTGCAAAGATTTGATTGAAGACGACTTCTTCCAGGTGGTTGGCTCCCTTCGCGGATCTCAATGGCTTGTCATGCCGCGCCAGCTCGTGCGCAAAGAAGTTTGGGACTGAACAACAACTGGAAGTCGTAAAAGTTGTCTATGCCTTACGACGTGCTGCTCTCCGAAGGGCTTTCATGACGCAGAGAAGGCAGCGCTGTTCTTTTGCGTTGAAATCGCTTCAGGACAACTGCTTCACTAGAACTTTGTAGAAGATGAAAATAATGTGCAATGACTTCATGTCGATCCAGTGTTTTGGTGAAATGAACTGATTTCGTAGTTCGTGACCACCTATGTTTCGTTGATGCAGATAAAATGTGCAAAAATAATCAGTACGCAATTTCGAGCATTTTGACATACATATCAGTACATGGGACTGCATTTGGATAATTAGAAGTTCCGGATAATTCGAATTTAGGGCCTGGGAATTTCAGGTTCGAACTAGAGGGAGTCTGCCTGTATTTACATTTAATGATTTTAATAATGCCATGAATAAAACTACACGCGCACTCATATCACAACCATAGCGATGAATAAAGTACTCCAGAATGTTTTCTTGTCACAATTATCAATGTGTATCAATCCTATTGTAGTTTCACCATTCTCTTTAGTCACGAATTCCATTGATAATTGTGACAAGGAAACGTTCTGGAATACTTTATTCCTTGCTATGGTTGTGATATGAGTGCACGTGTAGTTTTATTCATTGCATTATTAAGATTATTGTCTCCACGTCGCCTATTCAACGATTTATAAAACATTCTACGAGAGTGATAAAATTACAAAACACATTTCTATGTGAGCTCATTCTTGGGCTTCTGATCAGGCTTTCTTGTCTGAGGTTCGAGTTGTCATATTCGATTATCAGAACTCAACCCGTATTCAGGTCCCATCCTATGTCGGGCCTTGCCCTCATCTGCTGCTGTTGGCCCCATTTATGTGTTGCAGTAGTGATCCTGCTCTGCTGCTTGCATAGGAGAGAGCTCATGGATGTGTTTATGTGCATGTTTGTGTAGATCTGGCACAGCACTACTTGCTGCAGAACAACATCTCTGCTCTACGCCGAACACGCAAGACAGACAACAACCGTATTGCAAGGTCTGTAGTGTCATTTTGCAGGCTCGCCATTTCGTTAAATGTTCTTTCTCTTCTTTTTATTTTACATTTAGCTTGGCCATTTCTTTCTGGTTGCCGCTGGGCCATAGGACCTGCCTGGCGCCGCCGCTTTATCTATGAACAAGGTAAAACAGACTGTGCAATAGTACAGTCTGCTTCATCTTGTTTATAGCTGTGATTCAATGTATGATCGGTATCTCATTTCCATATCCCACTCGGGGGGTTTTCTCGTATGATACTGTTATGGTCCTGTTGTCCTAGTGATATGCACGTACAGTCCCTGCTCGCTCACCATTAGCCATTGAGGCACTCCTATGTTAGTGTTCTGGGTATATTCTATTGAATCTTGGACTTTTCCATGGACTATTTTGTTGCAGAGCAACCGGCGCTACTATCGTTAACCGCACAGATGAGTTGAAAGAGTCTGATATCGGTACTGGCTGCGGGATGTTTGAGGTCCGGAAGATCGGCGATGAGTAAGTGTATTTCTGTAATGCTCTATCTGAAGGTTTGTGCTGCTTCTGCTGGCTTAGGCTCCTCTCTTTGTGTACTCTCATCTCTATGTCCCTGTGTGGTCATATGTTACTGTCAGTCTTTCCAGATTGATGTTTTTTAAGTATGTGCCTGTGTCTATCTGTTTTCGATTCGCTTATAGATACTTCTCATTCATCGAGAACTGTAAGAACCCGAAGGCCTGCACCATCCTGTTGCGTGGTGCCAGCAAGGATGTTCTCAAGGAGGTACATTGCCTTTCATTACATTATTTCTCAATTTACCCAAGGGCATGATCAATTGGGTGAATCCCGAGCCAGTGTGCTCCGAGTGAGCGTGATGTTTGGCCAAGTTGGCCGAATCCGGAGTAGGTGTACTTGGAGTGGAATCCGAACACACCGGCCCCCGCACCGGGAGTGGTTGGAGTGGAAATGGAGTTTGGCGCTTTTTGACAGCTTTCACAGAATCGTACGATATGCGTACATTTTGCGTGCTACACTCTTGCTTTGTTCGATTGGGCCAGCGTTGCTCGGACCACATTGCCTGCTCGCACTCAATCCAGATTTGCCAATCGATGACACCCTAAGTCGGCTTTTATTAATTTTGGACTCGGATGGAGAGCCAAGGATTAATTGATAGAAAAGAAAAAGGACTAAGGAGCTACAAGTTCGCTATAATGTCCACTAACACCACCAGTTACTAGACAATCAGCTCATGCAATAACATGCACGACACTGACCAACGGTACTGACGTTCTACAGTTTTGCTTTGTTTTCATTGGTCGTGATGGTGGTATCATGAATTGTTTTCTTTGCGGAGTTGTAGCCACAGGCGCAGTCGAGTGCAAGTTGCCTTTTGTGACTTCCGTCTCTCTCTCTCTTCTTCTTATTTTTTTCTCAGGTCGAGCGTAACCTTCAAGATGCTCTTCATGTAGCACGCAACATCATGGTGCAGCCCAACATTGCAGCTGGTGGTGGTGCCCTGGAAATGGCTCTTCAGCGGGTATGTAAAGTGTATATTCTGTGTTCTGTTACTATCCTGTGCCACTGTGGTGCATGCCAAGAATCCCATTCCTTTAGTAAAGCCTCTCTTTCTATCTATCTCTTTCTCTTTCTCTGTATTTAGCATACTACATTCTGCCAAGTGAGTTGACCCGGGCGACCACGTTAGCATAACTACGTATGATAGGTGTAGATTTCAATAGCCATTGTTGTGCAGGGAATATTCCAAAAGTATTTGGTATCCCGGTTGTTTTAGCTAGGAAAAGTCTAAGGTGGTGGGGGTGTCAATGCGGAACAGAAGGGTCTTAGTACCATCAAGAGTACATAACCCCAAGAGTTTGTAGCTGGCTTCGCAATTTCTATCCAGTGATGCGACAGCAGAACTTTACATCACGTGGCGTGACTTAGTAGATAACGCTGGCAAACAGTGCAAAGTGACCACAAGAGAGTTGAACCCAAAGCAGGATCAAAAGTGTACAACTCCTGATACCCTTTCTAAGGGGTACGCCAACGGCGAAAACTCGCATCTCGTGGTGCAGTGTCGCAATTTTACGTTTCCAGCCCGTTTTTAGCGAGCAGCGTAGTGTTAAAAAAAGCACTCTCTGACAGAAACTCAATGTGGTTGTGCAAATCCCCAGCATGATCATGGCAGATATTCGGATTGCGCGCACGCTATCCTTCGTTTGTACGTAGTAAGAACGTATCTGAGACACGTGATGTGAGTTTTCGCCGTCGGAGACCCCATATGCAGAGTTGCAGACTCTTGGGGGTTATATACTCTTGCTATCATCAAGAGTATATAACCCCCCCCCCCAGAGTGTGCAACTCTGCATATGGGGTCAAGAGTTGCACACTCTTGGGGGTTATAATTATACTCTTGATGATAGCAAGAGTATATAACCCCCAAGAGTGTGCTACTCTGCATATGGGGTCTCCGACGGCGAAAACTCACATCACGTGTCTCAGATACGTTCGTACTAAGTACAAACGAAGGATAGCGTGCGCGCAACCCGAATGTCTGCCATGATCATGCTGGGGATTTGCATCCCCGCAGTGAGTTTCTGTCAGAGAGTACTTTTTTTATTACTCCGCTGCTCGCTAAAAGCAGCCTGGAAACGTACAACTGCGACACTGCACCACGTGATGTGAGTTTTCGCCGTCGGCGTACCCCATAGAAAGGGTATCAGAAGTTGCCCACTCTTGGGGGGTTATATACTCTTGCTATCATGCATAGGGTGCAAATAATGTGTACGAGTTTGTCACGTGATGTGAAGTTATACCGTCGCAGACCCCATAGAGTTGCACACTCTTGGGGGGTTGTGTACTCTTGGTACCATTCTACATATTATAACAAGAGTCCATAAACAAGAGTATGCAACTGTGATCTCTTTTCTATGGGCCAGATGCGCGACTTGCTGCCTTCATTACATCATGCAGCTGCAGTCCGCGGCTCTGCGGAAAATCAAACACCTCACTTTCCCTCTGGTTTGAAATGAACTTTCGTACGGAACTGGAGTTCACGCGCCAGAATTTAGAGATCGCGTAGGTACTGGAACGAATCGAGGAAAAACGGATGGGCTCGTACGAGAAATTGTGAGTTTGAATGCATGCTTTCAGAGCGTGATGAAGGCAAGTTACGTAATGAAGGCAGCGCGCCGCGCACTGACCCATAACCACAGTTGCATACTCTTGTTTATGCACTCTTGATTATAATTATTATCTGCGGCACATGAACTTGCTTCCAGCGGACAGCAGCAGTGCATGCACCAAGCTCAACACCGTGCATAATAATAATAATAGTTACAGTTCGCATGTCACTCATGGAAGGATCCATGGGCTTAACGCATCTGTCAACGAAATCCAGGCAGAAGAGCCGGCAAAAGGCATCTCATTATTGTTAGAACGTATCGCAGTAAGAACAACTACGCAAGCGCAGCACATTTTTCCACAAGCATCAGCCATTCTTTCTTGTCTACATCAATAGTAATTAGTTCAAAGTAAGAAAATGACGTGCTTCACGGCACACTGCAGTCGCTTGACAGGAAGATAGTTGGGAGAGGGCTGAGCACTTAACGGCACTAATGCAATAGCATGCCTTGCTCTGGTGTACATCTGTGTGTCACACTCTGTATGTATATGTGTTGTTGCGTTGCACAGGGCTTGACAGAGAAAGCAAAGTCTGTGGATGGAATTCAGCAGGGACCCTATCAGGCCGTTGCCGACGCTCTGGAGATCATTCCATCCACGCTTATTCAGAACTGCGGCAGCAAGCCACTCCGTGTTCTGACTGAGCTGCGCGTAAGTCTTCCTCCCTGCGTGTCACCATGTAGCGCGGTGGTGTGTGTGTGTGTGTTTGCACTGTGCAGTGTCGCAGATGACTGGCAGCTAGAACTTATCATTGCACTCTTCTCACTGTAACTAACCCAAAAAAAACATTCTGGGTTTTTCATCACTCCTTTATTTTCAGGCCAAGCACTCACAAGGTCTCACAACGTACGGAATTGACGGCGAAACTGGCAAGGTCGTGGACATGAACGAGTATGGTGTGTGGGATCCACTTAACGTTCGCCTGCAAGCTATCAAGACATCTGTTGAGGTAATCAATTTCATTGTTAGCCCTGGGAGAATCACGCTTTAATCTGTGTACGAGTCCATAGTAGGAATGAGGTAAACCAGATTGTGTAACTCTGGAGCCCATAGTAAAGCTGTTTCTGTATACCGTATGTCCGCACCTTTAAAGCCGTAGAGGTATATTTTGATTATAAAGCCAGTCTCAGTTATAAAGCCATGGGCTTCATAACTGAAATTTCATTTGAAGTATGTTTCGTAAAAATGAAGGAATAAGTACTACACTAACAAGTCTACAACCCAGCAGGAAGGGTGAACAAGTAGATTTAGATTGAAATTTCTGTGTGGACTTTGACTTTTATGGCATGGCGTAGTGGGTGAGTCATTTTGCATCTAAAATGGCTAGGAAAGCAGCGGTGTTTCGAATACAAGGTCATCGACTCACCTTTGCACCCTCTTCCAATGGTGAAGTGAAAAATGCACACAAATTTCCCATCATCACCTTAGCCATGGGGGGGGGGGGGGTCAAAAACTTCCTCACAATCTCGTGTATTGACCTCTTGTGTGTGTGTGCGTGTTCTTTGACTGGCCGTTGTATCTTTATAGACTGCAATCTTGTTGCTGAGGATCGACGACATTGTTTCAGGTGTAAAGAAGTCTCAAGGAGAAGGCAACTAGACGTTGTGCATACCTACATCTTACAGCCCACTCTGTACATACATCACAAGTCTATTTTTTCTCTTCTGTTATTTCCTTCTTTTTTTCTTTTTTTTCTTTCTTTTTTTAACTCTGTTTTACTCTCTTGTATATTTTGTGTGGCTGAAGACTGTACATGTAACACATCAATTCAAAAATCATGAGCATGTGCTACTGATTCCACTTCTATGTTATTCTTCTCTCGTGAGGCCGATTGTGCGAATAAGGTTGCATTCCTGCGGCTTCAATGCGTCGGGATAGTTCTGGCAGAACTCCCTAGTAGCCTCGGCCATAACACCGGTACCGGGTAGCAGACTACTCTGATTCCAGAGTGCGTCCTGCTGACATGATTACCAATCTACAATAATAGTTGAAATCGCTTTGTCTGCGCAGCCAAATACAGCTGCTCTACTGTCACTGATTGCAAAGATTTTAGTTCAGTAGTACTCGTACATTCGCCTGTCCTGTTTTTGCAACCTTGTGTGTGAAGTTGTGAGTAGTGTGGTGTACAAGCTCGTACTCTTGTGATTACGTTATCAAAAGCAAGTGTGCCTGCTTCAGTGCTTGCTTTGTGGAGTCTAGTCATGCATGCACCAAAGAATATCTATCCTTTGTCATTCACGATAGCCTGTGTGAATCATTAATTTGTGATCCAGGGCGAATGCGCATCTGAAAATGTAACTGCACAGCCCGAGATTGCAGCAATATCAAAGTTCAAAAGACATGCATTCAAAATCCTGTGCAGTCGCACGCCAAGAAAGTCCAGCCTGAAATGCTACATCAAAGTAAGAAGAAACCGACCAGTACGGATTGTCTATATAGTAAGAACGTGATAAATCGCCAAATAAGAAAAATAAGAACGCCCTTGGAAACAACGTTCTTGAGCGTGAGACTCTACTGTATTATAATAGTATAGGATTTGGACTTGGTATGGCACCTGTCCAGCTTGATATACATGTGTGGGGTAGACATCTGCGATGATATTGGATGACTTGCACAGAAGAGTAAAGTACCTGGTTTGAAGGCCAATCCTACAGATAGGATTACTTGGCGACAAAAAGAATAGCATGCGGACAGTGTCAAGCTATTCAAGCTGAGCTGGTGTTCATGCGAATTCTGGCCCTTCAATCTCAAGCATGTCACCAACAGTCAATTATCGTTATGCAGGCTTGACCTGTCCAGTTTGGACTATTTCTGCCTAACACAGAGATAAGCCCACCTCGGAACGTAAGAAGACAGAATGACCCCTAGGCGCTGGCCCTCGCCAACTATACAATGTATTGAGTGTCAGCTTTTTTTTGTATATTCACGGACAGAAGAGCCGGGTTGGCCAATTATCATACAGTAGAACAAGTAGACATGAAGTAGCCAAAATATATATTCGTCAAGGCAGGTCATTATGTTTCATGGAAAAAGCCGGTAAGACAGATAAGAAGACAAGAAGCAGAAGACTGGTGAAAATCTGGAGAGAGGTATTACATTTCTTTATAGGGACCTTCTGAGGAGACAAAGTAGTCGTCTAAACGGTATCGCAAGTACTCAAAGGTCGGCCGTTCCATTTCCTCGGGACGCCAGCAGTCTAGCATGACTTGATAAAATGGATCAGGGCAACCCGGAGGTTGAGGCATACGGTAGCCCCGGTCCACCTACAGCAAATCAGGCAAAACACAAAGAAAAACGTTTTTGTTGGCTAGACTCTCTAATGAGTGTGGTTGAAGAGAAAATGAAGGAGTCCATAATGTATGTCATAGCAACTCGGGCGGCCAGACAGCAGCAAGGACGGGGGAAATTCTGCTGCAACACTGAGTTTCAGTTTCATGATCATCAGCTAACACGTGAATACCGTAAAGTCTTGTATATAAGCCGCACTTGAATAGAAGCCGCTATTTTGGGCCCATCAAATCACACATAAGCCTGGTTTTAGTGTTGACATACATAGAAATTCCTGTCTTGTATAGAAGCCAGCAAAATTTCACCAAGAAAGTCATAGAAGCCGCGGCTTTTATACAAGACTATACGGTAAGTGTGATGATCCAGCAATAGAATTTCCCCATTCCGTACCGTGCGAAAAGCTCTGCCTCTGTGAGCAGTGGAGCACCCACACAGCTTAGAGGTCAGAAAATACTAAGATTCCAAACCACCCTCCAAATATCAAACTAAACGAGCTTAAAATTCAATGCTTCAGTTTCGGCTACATCAGCGCTGTTATGTTGTCAGTATAAATACATAGTTATGGACAAGCGCTGCACCATGCTATTGAATACGATGAGTATGAAGCCTGAAGTGACTTGTCAATTCTCGTTGTTCTACGTCAACAAGGTCACAGTAGTGGTTCGGAGGGATCCAGTGGCTCTGGATACAACCTAATGATCAAAATGACAATGGAAAATTTACTCCAGGGTGCACACTCAATCTGAATCCGGATTGGACCATTGCAGATAGAGTTAATTCTATTGATACATGTACGACTGAATGTTCACAGCCTAAGGCTGTGTTTACATGAGGCGTTTCAACCCGGGTCAGATTTCAACCCGCCATGTGCACAAAATGAATGGCGCGTTTACATGACGCATTGCGCTTGACCCGGGTTGAAATTTCGCCCCGGGTTGATTTCAACCCTCCCCCAAGGGGAGGGTTGAAATCGACCCGGGTCAAGAAAATCGTACAAACGTACTTCTATGCGTATCTCGAAATCAACCCGGGTCAAGAAAATCGTACAAACGCACTTCTATGCGTATCTCGCCAGGTTTGAACAGCACTGTACATGCAATTTCGCGCGAACGGATTCACGTGATCATACAGGATCCTAGAAGTGGACTTTTGGCGGCATATCAGTATTTGACCCGGGTCAACTGTCTTCACTTAAACGTTCACCTCTTTTGTCTATCGTATAGACTTTCAACCCGGGCTGACGTTTCTCACGTAAACACAGCCCAAGTCTCACCCTCCTTTTTGGGCCCCAAAGTCATCATTTTGCTGACATCAGTAACAGCTGCCTGTCAGAATGTGTTTCTCTGGCCAGCATTACCTTTTCAAAATAGTTATGTTCTGCTCTGCGGTCATTTGAATGATACCCCACAGATCTGTACAAATTTTCTTTGCGTGTGCCACAACGTAGAGAACCTCATATCCGCATAGAAATGTGGACACAGAACATGCCAAGTCATGGACTCTAACCCAGACACCTGTCCTTTATGCGATTTCTACACGTTCACCCCATTACTGTAGTCTCTATGCTGCATACAAATAACAGTTACAATGTCAGGTTTTTGGACATGTGCAAACACGAAGGGAATTGATGAGGCTGTACTCCCGATTTGAGAGGGGTAGATAATAACCAGTATGATCAGTGCAGATTGTGTGACAACTGACAAGGCCACCCTCTCACATACACGCACAGTCCTTGCCATTTGGCCACAGGTGGGCATACAGTGCAACCCTGATCAATATCTGAATCCAGAAGCGTTTAGTTACCCACAATGAGTGGGAAGTGTGTAAAGGTGTACGAACCATTTTTTTAAATGTAGATATTCATGACATGGAGTGTGCACGTGACCGTTATGCATCCGCATGCACAGGCTGCTTTAAAGGCATCCATGCTAGCGTGATTTACATTCAGTGGGGATATGCCCGGCCTTTCCCGTAATAGGAGTACATAGTGTACTAGATGCCAAAACTAGATGCTAAAAAAGAACCAGGAAGATATGGATATCTGTGTGGCCTTGTCGTTTTTCTTATCCAAACACCTCGTAAAGAGTTCTGCCCAGAGGGAGGAAAATAGTAAAGTTGCACTATAATACCTCAGAGACCGGTTCGGGCCAGACATTTTACACAATCAATGCATATCTATGCATTTCGTGGACTTGCAGTATTCATTATGTTCACGAACATCACATAACTATGTTAGTAGGACTGCAGAAGCTGTGACTGGGGAGGGATGGGGTTGTTTGGCACAATAGGTCAGCATGATTCGACTAGTTGAAGAGATTTCCTGGGTAACAAAGGATTTCAGTTTTATATAAGCAGGCTTACCTTTGTGAGCACTTCAGCATTGGTCATTCCAGGGTAGGGAACACGTCCATACGTAATGATTTCTGAGAGCAGAATTCCGAAGGACCAAACATCAGATTTGATTGTGAAGCGGTTGTATAACGCAGCTTCTGGTGCCGTCCACTTGATGGGGAACTTGGCTCCTTCTCGGGCACAGTACTCATCGTCTTGAATGACACGAGCAAGTCCAAAATCAGCCACCTTGCAGTTGTTGCCCTCACCAACAAGAATATTACGGGCAGCCAAATCTCTGTGAATGTAGTTCTGTTGCTCAAGATAAGCCATACCAGCAGCAACCTGCACAACAGATAAAAGTCAGCATGCTGCCTTAGAAGGAGCAGAGAGAAAATAGCAGCCCTAGCACTACTTTTGAATGCCTTTGCCTGCATTATTCAGAGAAAGCGATCACGTTGACTCGTGTGCAAGAAATTGCTTCTGGTATTTGCTTGCGCAGAATGTTCACAAGCAACATCTTCTTGAAAAGTAACAGCTCGGCACAACAATGGTCAAGCAGCACACAGCCGGTCAATTGAGGTTCAGAAGATGATATCATGACTGGCAACAGGTGCCTCGATCAAGCGACAAACCTGCCCTACATGGACAATTGCGCTGGGTTAAATCCTACAAAAAGCACTAAGCTGGTGCCATCGATCAGTTCCCATTTCCCACTGCATTAGTACATGTGTATGTCCAGCAGCATTCAGACTATTTCCAGGGTGCCTAGGGCTGTGCAAGCCCGGGTGCCAAATATGCACTTTGGGTTGGATCTTACCAGGCGAAATGATATACATTTAGTCCTCGCAGGGAAAAAGAAAGGAAACTTGCACAAAACCTGAAAATTTGTGTTACCAAAGTCCCACTGCACTGAAATATACTGTTTTAGTTGCCATCTCACCGAGCTGTTCTTTGCACAGAAGCACTGTATCAAGAGTACAGCTCTGATGATTTGCTGTCACAGCGAAATTCCGTGATTAACATCATTTTTGTGAGTAGTGCGTACAAGCAGGGCTCTTTCTGCACAACTGCAGCTCAGTTGCACGCACTACGCCACTTCCCGCCTCAGATCTGCGCCAGATGTGATGAAATCACGGAATTCCGATGTGACAGACACCCATAGTAGAAAATGCCCCAAGGTCACACTCTGGGTTTCATGTACTCTTGACTGTATGCTGAATGGTGCATGCATGGCTATTCAGTATCATAGAGATCTTCATAACACCAGATGATCTCAGATATCTCTTACCTGCGCTGCCATGTCAACTAACGCTTCGATCTTGAGGAAGCGTCCTTCCCCCTTTTGGAGATAGTCGAGTTGAGAACCATGCTTCATAAGCTCGGTAATGATGTACAATGGCTCCTCCTGTGTACATACTGCATACAGCTGAACGAGCTTCTCATGCCGAAGCTGCTTCATAAGTGTGGCCTCCTCCAAGAAGGCTTCAGGAGACATAGAACCAGGCTTCAGGGTTTTTACAGCCACCTGCGTTGTTCCGTTCCAAAGACCGCCCCAGACCTCACCAAACTGTCCAGCACCAAGCCGATTCTTCAGCTGAATTTGAGTGCGAGGGATTTCCCATTGATCCTTAGTGTTGTAGGACAGGCCAAGCGTTTGAGGCTGTGCTGCATCAGTGCAGATCTGCGTCAGCCGTGTGCACAATCCATCAGAAGTTCCCTTGTAGTGCTCGACGAGCTCAGCTAACGTTGGGAACACTGCTCTACTTGCAATGAAATAATGACCGTTGTCCATCGTCCGGATACGGTAATGCTTGACGGAGTCATGCTCGCGGATGGACAAGGAAAAGTTCCCGGGCTGTGACTCAGACTCACGGATGAGGTAGGTGCCGTGAGGGTTTCCGGGTGCGAGAAGCTTCTTCTCAGCATCAGCACGCTTGATGGGTCCAAAGAACCAACTGCAAAGCAACAACAAAACACACACAGAGAATGCATAAATAAGCAAGCAACTGTACAGTACTGATATTCACAACACAAGGAACTTGTCTCCTCCAAATCTTGGTTCATGGACATGCTTTGAAGCTGCTTATTCGCTTCTTCTCCATACTGATTGGGATCATGCAAGGTGTCAGTGCATCCACACTAAACAAGTGTGATTGTAGCACACGTTCGAGACGTCTTCCATGAGTGACCAAAGTTAGGTAGTTTGCCAACTTTTGCGTTGTCATATTGTCAGTTATAAAATCACTCCGGTAACTCCCAACACGCATGATTAGATCCACATATAATCTGGGCTTCAAGACAATCCAGCGAAGAGCGCTCAACACTGCCTCCATTCCACCTGGCGCTCTCTGCAGAACAGTTCGATGGCTCATTTCAAAAAAATATTTCCCCTAACTTCGGGTGGAAGACAGCAATGAACCCAGCTTTTCGTAATCTTGGAACACTAGGTAAATCGGCTCCAGCTGTCTTCCCTTTTCTGGACTGTGAAGCTAGAATGTCAGGTCAAGTGCCATCACCAAGATTTCGAAAGCACACAGCAGAAAACAGAAATATTGTACAGCAGTGGCACCGCCAAGATCTACTGGAAGCAATCCCGACAGACTTACTCGTGTGCCTTCATCGAATCATGTTGAGCCACATAGTTGCTGGGAATATACCCAGTCTTGCCAGTGACTGTGGATTTGGCTTGCCACCAATCTCCATCTGTGTTGTTTAGGACCTCCAAGAGCTCTCCTTTAGAAAAGCTAAGGTCCTCGTCTGTGCGGGCTTCATAATCATACAGTCCTATGAAGACATTGGCTTTGTTTGCTGGCGTTGCACTCTGCTGGGGCGCGCTTGGCAAACTCCTGCCTTGAAGACCATGGCCACCGGGTTGTGATTCAGGTTGAGCTGCTGAATGTCCACGATCCTTGCCCGAAACAGTCCCCTTGTCGCCGGAACTACTGGAGCAGCAACACCCCATTTCTATCCATTATACGAACATCCGTCCAGCTACTAGTAGTATCCAACCTCACAGTAAAGCAAGAAAAATGAAGGGGACTAAACGTCTGGAACTGCTTCCACAACAAGAACCAGACGCCAGCTAACACTCATCCGTGAATTACAAGGTTGCTCTTCTCTCGAAACTGCGGGACACTACGAAACCACAATCAAAACACACAGCAGCAAGTCTCAAGTCGAAGAAAGCCGATGTCCGACGTGCGCATGCGCACTAGCGCCTTCGTAATGGTTACCGTCCGGGTGCGTACGCTGTACTCGCAAGAACGCAGTTCCTGTGAGACCCTGTGAGTGCAAATGCACGGTACGCCAGGCAGCAGCAGTTGACAGACTGGACTGGTACGATTCTACGTTGAACCCGCATCACCAGATCACGGGTTCATATTCTTGATCTCGACTCTCTTTCTTCAAAACTGCGAAAGCTCCGGAACTCGTAAGGTTGGTTCACATTTTGCCAGTAGATCTACGCCCCGGGACCAGGGCCGGAACTAGTTGACTGCCTCTTGAAACCCTTCCCGATATTATTTTTATGCTAAAGAATCACACACCCAACTCGCAAGAGAAAAAAGGCAAAGGAAAAGAAAAGATCAGAGCGAACAGTACGGAATGAAGGAAAGGACCAAGACATGACAGAACGAACAGGTTAGTGTAGTGGCCCCCTACACTACAATTAACCTGTTCGTTCCGTCTTTACAAGGGCTCTACATTAACCTGTTCGTTCCGTCTTTACAAGGGCTCTACGTAGTGGCTCCAGCTCCAGTGAGACTGCACAGGAATGCGTACTAACGCATTGTGTACCAATGTCATACGGTAAAATCATTGGCACTGCCGGTACCCACGCGTCCCACGGTACGGCGCTACGACCTGGGAAAGTGAGACCTGGGCCCCCGGCCCGTGTTCTTTTGTGTGTGTGTGTGTGTGTGTGTGTGTGTGTGTGTGTGTGTGTGTGTGTGTGTGTGTGTGTGTGTGTGTGTGTGTGTGTGTGTGTGTGTGTGTGTGTGTGTGTGTGTGTGTGTGTGTGTGTGCCTGAGGTGGGGTATTCACCGACAGGAGACTTGGTCGGATAGTTACGATGCCGACACTCTCCTCGTCGCCCCCACCTCAGAGTCCTTCGCGAGGCCTTGCAAGCCCGCGAGTGGAGCAAACTACCGCACGAAGACGACAACTTGGAACGACTCTGAGCATTGGCTCATGGAATGTTTGCTCTGCTGTGGAGAGTGATGGACCTGTTCGAGCGGCCGCCGTGAGAGGAATCGTTTCCGACGATAAGAAAATCTTTCAAATAGTTGAACATCTTGACAATGTGTGTGTTCTCTGCTCTGGTGGAGGACGGTTGTACTTTTCCGGGCTCTTGTTTCTGGCCTCCGTCCGTGCTTGTTCTCGCCGTTGTGGACGGCCTGGGGTGTCCCCAGCCGTCCAGGCCAACAGTGCCTGAGGTGGGGTATTCACCGACAGGAGACTTGGTCGGATAGTTACGATGCCGACACTCTCCTCGTCGCCCCGACCTCGGAGTCCTTCGCGAGGCTTTGCAAGCCCGCGAGTGGAGCAAACTACCGCACGAAGACGACGACTTGGAACGACTCTGAGCGTTGGCTCATGGAATGTTCGCTCTGTTGTGGAGAGTGATGGACCACTTCTAGCGGCAGCCGTGAGAGGAATCGTTTCCGATGATAAGCCAGATCCATAGCTGCTGGAGATGGCTCTCTCGAACATGGTCCCGCTCGTCGTTCCCCCGTAGGGGACACGTGACCGTAATGGCAGTGTTTACCAGGACCAGGACCAGGTGTGTGTACGTGTTGTCCAACCTGTCGGAAGGCTGCCCTCTTGCCAAAGCACTTTGGAAGTTGGACTAGTTTCGGCTCCACAATCCAGTGTGTCGTTACTATAATATAGCTTTCATGGCTGAGGTTGTTGGTACGTCTGTTGGCCCTGGGTTCCCAGTACCCAGTTGCCGAGGCTGGTTGGTAGAATAACTCCAATTTCACTTCAAGGTACCAGTGCATCTAAAGTCTGCTTTTATCAAAGCAGCGTGCTGTCTATACTGGTTACCCCAGCAAGTGTAGGGTGCATAGGTAGCTGTCTTGGCCGTCCTATTCCGATGTACTCCGTGTGGCGTAGACCAGGTGTGCATTGGGGGGCTGATTCACATGGCTTCGCCAGTTGTGTGGATTAGACAGTTACTTGGCACTTGTCTTGATCTGTTTCAATCAGAATCAGATCCGCTATCGTTGCTATAAAGAGAAAATCTGTGGGTGCACATCCAGTGCATTTGCAGATTTGCGTGCTTCTCTTGCGACGGGCGTATACATGGTACATGGTACGTGTTGCCATGTACTGGCACCCTCCAATGGCATTGCATTGACCACATCCTTGTTCGACAAGGGGACCTGGGTGCCTGCACTGATGTATCAGTAATCAGAAATGCTGAGTGTGGCAGTGACCATCAGCTGCTACATGTGTCATGGGACATGTCTAGCCCAATCAGGTTTAGCAAGAAGTGCACGGCCAGCCGACAACGACAGCGCTTTGATGTCGCCCGGCTCAGGAACTCCAAGCCATCTAGTCAAACTGACACCAATGACGAGCCTACACCAGTTGATTTGTATCGCAGTGTTGTTGGGAGTGAACTCACCAAGGATTGGAATGAGCAAGCCAACATTGCGAGTAAATGGAACCATATCAAGTCAGCACTTGATACTGCGGCAACCTCTGTTCTCGGATTCTCGAGACGCCAACAACGGGGCTGGTTCCAGGAGGCAACTCCACATATCCAACCACTCCTTCGGGATCGGAACGCTGCATACAAGGAGTGGATCCAGCATGGACAGCACCGCGATCATCCATCCTTCAGCACATTTAAATCTGCCAGGTCGAAGGCACGCTCGGCTATTAATGCAGCCCGTGTGAAGTGGATAGAAGGCAAGGCGCTAGCGGCTACAGAGTCCCGTTTTAACGGAGCTATTATGGAAGTGCATCCACGATCTCCAAGCTGCAGGGGAAGGTTTGAAACCGGCTCGGACAACCGCAGTCGTGGATGAAAACGGAAATCTATGCACGTCACCAGAAGAGCAGGGTCACCGTTTTCGGAGACATTTCTCTGGAGTGCTGAACATCCATAGCACATGGTCACCTAGTGCGCTGGACTCCATCCCACAACTGCCGGTAGACCAAGATCTCGTTAGTCCCCCGACACTGGAGGAAGTAAGTTCGTCGTGCAAGCTCCAGAGCGGGAAATCGGCTGGAGCCTCTGGTATCCTCCCGGAAATGCTGAAATTTGGTGGCGAGCAGCTGTTCCTCAGCCTTCATGGGCTGTTTGGCGATGTGTGGCGTGAGGGTCGTATCCCCCAGGAGTGGGTAGATGCCATGCTGGTGCCAGTACCCAAGAAAGGTGACCTCTCCAGGTGCGATAACTGGCGTGGGATATCTTTGCTGGATGTCGTAGGCAAGGCACTAGCAGGAGTCATTCAGCTACGCCTCCAGTCTCTGGCCAAAGAATTCCTCCCGGAATCGCAGTGTGGCTTCCGCCGTGGCAGATCATGCTCCGACATGATATTTACCATCCGCCAACTCTTGGAGAAGACAGTAGAACATCAAACCAAGGGTTTCTTTGTCTTCATCGATTTGCGCAAAGCTTACGACTCAGTTCCTCGTGAGTGTCTCTGGCAGGTATTGGCTAGAGCTGGCGTCCCTCCACCCATGCTAGCGGTGATCAAGTCGTTTCACACCTCAATGGCTGCTGTATTACGCATGAGTGGTACAACTGTAGATCTCTTTAGCGTTCATAATGGTCTACGCCAGGGTTGCTCAATGGCGCCCGTGCTGTTTAACATTTTCATGTGGGCCGTGGAAAGCAGATGGCAGCAGCGCGTTAGTGGTGTACCTGGTATTGGTTTCAGTTTCTCGCACAATTCTGACACTGGTAACCTCTACAGGAAGTCTCACCGCACCGACCCTGTCACTACCGCTACGGAGGCTCAGTTCGCTGATGACTCGGCATTGTTCGCTACCTCAAGAGCTGGTGCCGAGGTCGCATTGACAGCCTTTGACAACACGGCGTCCGAATTTGGCCTCGCAGTTAGTGCCACAAAGACAAAGTTTTTGGTTGCTGGTGCTGGTGCTGATGTGTCTGCTGCTGACCGCGTACCCCTCAGTCTGGCTGGTGTCGACATTGTCTGTATCACCGAATTTAAGTATCTGGGTTCGGTAATTCACAGCGGTGGCCGTTCATCCTGCGATTTTGACTCCCGCATTGCGAATGTCTCCCGAGCGTGTGGCGCTTTGCAAAAGTCCATCTTTGGCAACAAGCACCTGGACCTCCACATCAAGAGGTGTGTGTTCAACGCCTGTGTCTTGTCGCTCTTGCTGTACGGTTCGGAGTGTTTGACGCCTCTTCAACGGGATTTGCAGCGGCTCTCTGTCTTCCACCACCTATGCATCCGCTCGATCATGGGAGTGTCTCGCCAAGAATGCTGGGATGACCACATCACCAATCACCAACTACGCGTGAGGTGGGGTGATCCCGACACCATCCGCACGAAGGTGGAGCGCCGCCGCCTTGAATGGCTCGGACATGTTGCTCGGATGGAGGACCACCGGCTGCCGAAGCAAGTGCTCTTTGGCACGCTTCCGTCGCGTCGCCCAGCTCATGGCCCTCGTCGGCGCTGGAAGGATTGTATTGTGTCTGACCTTCGTTCTCGCGGCCTCGAGGGGGAATGGCGAGCTGAATGCGAGTCGCGTTCCACCTGGCGCTCGGCGTACTCAGCACCGGTAGATGCCCAGCATCCCCCCCCCCCCCCTCCCGTCACCGGCTACACCTACGACCCACAGTTTGCACGCCCCAGTGATCGCGCACGCCACAAGTGTAGGGTTGAGCGTGCGAAGCCCGTTGCGGAGCAGAAAGGTGCATGCCAGTGTGGAGAGTGTGGCTGTTGGCTGAAGTCCCGTGGTGGTCTGGCAAGGCACAAGTGTACTTACCCCCAGTCAGCAGTCGGTGCGCCCCTGCCGCTGCCTGCTTCTCCGCTGTGCTGCGTCGCTCACTGCCAGGCTTGTGACCGCTGCTTTGCGTCTACACGTGGCCGCGCCCGTCATCGCTGCTCACGGACTTGTAGTCGTCCGACCGTTCAGGACCGTCAGGGTTTCGCATGTGTTTGCGCCTGCTCCCGCCGATTTCGCTTACC